AATTCCTCTAATAATAAAATATACTACTTTACCTTATATTCACAAGATAGAATTTTTTCCTTATACTCAGCAATAACTGTTAGGGCTTGTGGTACAGTCTAGGGTATAAATATAATTAGTATTTTACTGTAAATAGTAGTCTTATAAAAAGAGTTTATATTACCATATTTTGGTGATTAATTTTTTCTGGCTCTGGAAATATACTAAAAATCCAAGAGGTATCATCCTCTCTCTTCTTAGCTAGTCCCGCAAGAGCTAGTCCGGTAAAAGCGGTAAGAGTAAGAAACTTCATATTGGGTTTATCTTATTTGACGTAAATTTAATCAACGATTAAAAAGGCCGGTTTTTTCTTAATTTTTAAAAAGCAAGATAGCTGTAAAAATTAGAATTAGCAACTGCGGATTATAAGACCTTTAAATATACAAGTAAAATAACCTTAGCATAAACGCCAAGGTTTTTTTTAAAATTACAAAACTTAAAATTTAATATAATTACTTTTACTACTATACTATTTTATGCGGCGGAGCTAGCAGCTTATAAGTAGCCTTAAATAATCCAATTAAAAATATACAAGTCAGTCCATAAAATAAGGATCTGAGTCAGTTACCAGCAATTGATTGGAGCTAGCAGCTTATAAGTAGCCACAAATAATCTAATTGAAAATATACGAGTCAGTTTATAAGATAGGAATTTGAGTCAGTTACTAGTAATTGATTGGGCTAGCAGCTTGCGAGTAGCCACAAATAATCTAATTGGAATATGCAAGTCAGTTTATAAGATAGGAATCTGAGTCAGTTACTAGCAATTGATTGGCAGATAATGCAAGTATTGCCGCTATACCCACTTCCTCACGAGTCAATCGAAGGATAGTATTAGATCCCCGTTATGTGATAACTTGATAAGACGCCAACTTAGGTAATGAGAACACTGATTCTCGCGCAATCTTGCAGGAAGCGAACATTTAAGACTGTGTTACACGGTTGGCACACAACAAAGGGCGTTGGGCCAACAAAGGTTACACAACAACAAAGGCAACGGTCACGAGGCCCGAAGTCGGCTACAAGCGAGGGCTGCCTCAGGCACACAGCCCTCACCGACTTCTTGTATTTATAGGGGCCTTTGGCCCTCTAAGGCCTCGTATAAAACTAAGGACCTTTGATAACCCAAAGACAATTATTATAGATTGAATTGAACCCTCTGTTCCAAGCCCAGTTATCCTGCCCTTGTCACAGACTGAGACAGTCTACCTCCGTTATCACTCACATAGGACAATGTTTTGTGACTATTATCAAACAGGCTACCTGCGTACGAGTTTTTTCTGTAATATAGCTTCTAATTCGCGGAACGGCTTCATTCGTATCTATCTACTCAGCTCTTATCAACACTGCATTTGCTTTAATCTATTCCTAATCCTGTGTGGGTGCCTTGACGCCTAGGAGCTTTTCGCAGTTCTTGTACGCGATCAAGGCCAAGTCCTCCTCCGACAACAACCCACTCTTTTCCAACTCTTGGAACCACTCCAAGCCTCTTTCATTCATGGTAAATGGGTAGTCCACGCTGTATAGGATATGGTCAATCTTGGTATTTGCTAGAATGCAACGCATGGGATCCAGGCTCCACACGCCAGAGGTCGTGATCCAGATGTTCTCATCATACACCTCTGAGAAGGTTCGGCCCGTTTTACCTAGACGATGGTCCTGCTCGCGAATCCTGTCCAGCATGTAGGGAATCATTTCTCCAAAGTGGCCGATAATAATCTTGAGTTTGGGAAACTTGTCAAACACGCCTGCAGCGTACAATCGTAGGACATGGTGACCAACTTCGCTATGCCAGTTGAACATGGCACCGCCGATAGTTCCTGCGGCGGTCGGCGAGTAGTTGCCTGCGTAGGCTTGCTGAAATTGTTTCTCCGTGGGCCAGGAAGGATGGAGATAGATGGGCACTGCGAGCTGCTCGGCTTTGCGCCAAAGAACATCGTACTCGTTGCCTTCACAGAATCCGTTGCCATGGGCCGTCTTGTGATCGACCAACGCACCGACGAAACCAAGCTTTTTGACAGCTCGCTCAAGCTCTTTGGCGGCGGCTTCAGGGTCACGCATGGGCAGAACAGCAAAGCCTGCAAAACGAGTCGATGTTTCATGAGATTTTGCAATCTCTTGTGCCAGCTGGTCATTGCCAGCTCGGCACACTTCGGGTGAGGGATCTTCAGCGGCGCAGTGCGAGATGATTTGCAGAGACACCTTGCCAAGGTCCATTTCCTTTAGGCGTAGATCCCCAGCGTCTAGTAGTCTCTCTATTGCTCCTGGCCATTTTTCGATGCCCTTCTTCAAGGCATTGTCGAAGGAGTCGAACACAGCCTTAGAGTACCAGTGCTCCTCGAGAGTAATCAGAGGCCGCGTCATCGTGATTTTGTCTTGGGAACTATAGTATAATAGTAATAAAACGTTGAATAATGCTCAATTATGATTTCTTTCCAATGTGAATCTGGACAAGACTTTATACTTGTGCCTCTACGCGCACTCTTCAGCGTATACAGTCGGTGCGGAGTTGAGTCGGAACTACGATGCACAGATTTTATGTTTTGGCAAAACCTCGCCCTCGGCGAAAAAGTAATGACCGAATTGCCAAACCTCCCCAATGAAATTAGTATACCGGGTGCCGAGGGTACTAAATTTAGTTTGTTGTTTTAAAGGTAAGCCGCTTAGTCACAGAGAGACAGCTACTATTTGTACCAACCATGACCTGGATAATATACTGAGGAAGAAATATTGAAGCCATAGTTTCTCCTCTTGTGTCTTCACACGCTGAGCAGTATATGCCGGAAGAGCCGAGCAGCCGGTGTAACCGTAATGTGTACATGTAAGCGGGTTATTGGCTAAAGCCAAGCGCCTTGGGGAGCTGCGTGTTAATCGGGGCTGGGATCAATGCCGTGCCAACCGACTACTGCTAACCTAACGCAAAACACTTATGAAATATATGACAATGAATGATTTTTTATTACGAAAATATTCTTGAACCGGTTGCAACTACCTTGGCACGTCCGGACTTGCCCAAGATGATTTCGACGGCCCGCAAAAGTTCAAAGTCCCGCTTTGGCGCGCCAACAAGATTCGCAACCACGGGAAGAAACTCGGTCTGGTGACTTCTCTTTGAGTGGTACGGTATTTCTCCAATGGGGATAACAATATCGGGGGCGCCCAGGATTGGTGGAATAAAGAGTTGATCCAAGGCGGATTGCTTCTCGGGGGAGGGTAACACCTCATCACGATAGACAGGCTTGGCGTTGGCGACAGGAAGTAGCATGAACGTCTCAATGTTGTTGTCTCCAAGTAGCTGCTCATGCAACCATGTCCGGCACACGAGTAGCCGTCGTGTACCCTCCTCGTGTTGGGCAGTGGACACCGTAGCGCCTTGAACCCACCTGCGTTGAACGAAAGGAATCACGAATGGCGGCCGACCTGGTGTTTGCCGGAGTACAACTTTCTAAAGTCGTCCTTGGAATGATAGAATTCGTGATAGTATGTTTTACGTATAACATCATCCAGATACTCTTCAATATCGTCACAAGTATCAGGAGGATGTGACTGCTTCCAAGAATTTCGGATAGAGAATTGGGTAACAGTGGCTGGAAGCATATCCTCTGCGTCCTTGATAAAAGCGTCAATTATTTTCATCTGGTCTGTGTTTGCCTCTGACATGTAATCCTCCGAATAGATGAGACGATATGATCTGCTTTGTGACTTAGATGGCGCTATGGGAGGAGGTGGTATCCAAGTTGTAATGACGCGTTCCAGGATGTCGAGGCTTCTAGCAAAAACACAGGGTGTGTCGAATTTGGCATACGTGTTGCAAAGACCACTCAATGAAATGGAATCGTGAGAGGGCCGGAATTGCCAAACACCATTCGCCATTGCTGGTCGGCGGCCGCTTCCGCTGGTGTCAGTACTAAGAGCGCAGTCAAGCCAGTCGTAGGCCGCCACGGCAGCAGCACTTCCGCTGCTACTACCCGCAGGAGACTGATATCCGTCTCCGCGAGGGTTGAAGGCTGTTGGGTAGTCGACAGCGTCCATGGGTTCCTCTCAAGCCACCATCGAGCTTAGCTTGGTCAAACCCAAGACATGAGCCCCGTCCTTTACGAGCGCCTGAACTACTTGGGCTGTAAAAGGCGCCGGATTGACAGCAACGCGGAGTTGTGGTAGCGAGTTGGTTGCGGACGTCGGTGCTCGAGGTGGAACAGCAATGGCAAGGCGGCCGTATGAGACACCGGCAACTCGCAGCTGCTGAACCTTTGTCAAAGCAGAGCTTTAGGAAGCGTCAGATGAGAAACATGAGAGCATGAAGCCCCGGGAAGATACTTACTGTCCTAAATTTGGTTTGATTGTGGATAGGAATGCTCCCTGCTCATCATCATACAAGCGGCAGACGCTTTGCAGCACTTTATTGGCGTACGGGTACGGACCAGGAGCCAGCGCTGGACCACCTACTTTTTCAATTTTAATATTCGCCCACTGTTTACCAAACTCTTTCAAGTACTCTCGACAACCTGGTGGAATGGTCTGCCTGTGACGGGGGGTGGTGATGATGATGCCGGCGAGGAATAGTTTGCGATCAAAGACGTCACACTTGTCCAATCCATCGAGATATGCCCTGATACAGCCCTTGTTTAGCGGTACGTCCTTCCGGTTGCAGACAACAGTCACCAGTGAAGGCTCCAGAGGAATATCAACGCTGGGCTCGAACTAGATAGATGCAAGTTAGTTCCGGTGCCTAGCAAGCAAAGAATAAAACAACTACCCTTACGTAGAGCGAAGGCATCTATGGCGATATATCGCGCACCTCCGGCCTCAAAGATTGTGGTGGACTTGGAAGCCGCCGTTGAGCTAGCAGCTGTGGTCGTGTTGGTGGCGTCTTTGCCAATGAGACGGGATGATCCTAGCACCATGGCAGGAACTGAGTAGGTTGGTCCAGATGTCGGTCGGGCTGGAAAACGGTCTTGAAATGCGACGGTAGTCTCTTGCGGGGGTTGCCGCCTTTATGTAAAGTCTGGTTGCCTAGTCTGCCGACATGGACTCAAGTCTGTTGCCGCCCAGACCACGTCACAAGATGGTGCCATTACATTGACCTCGCCAATGCCCGTGCGAACTCGCCTGAACCTCGTCACACCGGGGTTTCAAATTGTCATGGAGCGGTGTGCCGGTAGGTAATGACAGCACATGAACATACATGACTACATTATTCACCCCAGTTGACCTCGCCCGGGCGTTGAAGGGTCGAGAGTGGCTGGTGTGACGAGAGAATATATATGTTTGCTCGTCCCAGCTTTTGAATACCCTCTGCAAAGACGGTTTATAACCATGAGCCACGATGGTGAGGGCACAAGGCCGCCAGGCACGGGTACAACAGAGCAGACGCCCGTGATAAGTGAGGATGTCCATACATGTATCGGACCTCCACACCCCGCACAGTCGTCCGACTTTGAGGAGCTCTCAAGCAATCGTCTTCCTGTTGTGTTAAGTAGTATCTAGGTTCGTTCACCTGCCGAAGCCCATTCTGGCGACTGAATAGGTTACAAGGCATTGACATGGTCCAACTCAAGATCATCGTCGTCCTCACTGCTTTGGGTATGGTTCCTCTATACCGTTGTGAGAGAGGTTCAGTTATGGATTGTCATCTCGTCTATAGATTCGACCATTGTTGCAACCCTTTGCGTCACCATTGCGACCTCCTTCACCTCATTCAACAACTCTCTTGGTGTGGCACCGCGTACCTCGTTATACTCGGTCGGGCCATCGCCGCCGCCGGTGTGGGGAAGATGAAGCCTCACTTGAAAGAGGTTTTGCAAAAATTATGGTTAGGTTGGGTGCCCACGATCCCAATAACGCGCACAACAAGGCTATCAACAAAGATCTCGCGATGGAGTGGCTATGAGATCCCTGGAAAGTCGACCACAATGTCAATGAACCAAGTCACGGCCCACCATCTTGGCTTCTCGGTTTCGATAATGCTGGTAATCCCGATGTATTCCGCCCCTATGGCGACATAGCTCAGAGCGGAGCGGTTCGAATCACGAGCCGTAGCCCCGTGGCTCAGTCAAGCTTGGTACAAGACGCAGTCAACATCGACATATAAAGCCTCAAACCGGCGTACATTAGCTGGAATCGACGGCCTATCATCCGCATTCAGAATGTTAACAACACTGTTACGATTGGCATCTATGGATCGCGTTTAATTTGGACTTGATTCCTGATTTAATCTATCTGTCAAGGAATTTAAGCCTACTTTCTAGTAAGAAATTCGGAAAGCTAACAAAACTTCCCGCCATACTTCTCCCAGTCTAATAATACCAGCTCAGGCATAATACCCCTTGCTGTACCTACCGGTTATCTTTCTTCGGTAACCCATTTGGCAAGTTGTTAGACTACAAGTGACAAGCATGTCAGCCTTGATCGAATGGGTAACCTCTTCACGACTCACATTGGGAAAATAGTGATTGACCGTCATTACCTCGGTGCCGTTAAACGTCCCGGGGGCAATGAAATCAACTCGGTTAAGCCAGGTGTACTTTTTAGAATCCGTTTCTACTCGGCTGTATCCACATTGTTAAAGGCCGAAGGAAACAAAATCTCATATCAGACTGATCAAGGAACTTGAGACTTACACAATGCCATTCTGGTACTGACGAACAATAGCGCCGCCGGTATGCTTCACATACGCCCAGTGACCATCATCTAGTTTTACAACATATGAAATGACTAGACAAGGGGCAATTATCAACAGGAGTGTTATTTCTTCACTAGTTTCATGATCAACTTACGGAGCTCAAGATATTTGGTCCCCGGGTCTGTTCCAGACGTTACAACGCCGTCATCGTTTGCACGAAGAATTTCGCCAAACTGCCGGCCCGTCGTATCATACAAGTAGCCCCTAAAAGAGAAGTCAGATATTTGAAAATTCGATTACTGGCCGAAAACATACTCGCGACTCCACCAGCTAGCACGAAGGCCAGATGGCGTCTGAATGGTATGGTTCTGTAAGTATTGTTAGAGGAGAAACCCCCAACTATATCAAAACAGATTGCTGACATTGTCCAAATCCCAGTCAATCTTGGCCTGGAAGGCAGGCCGCATCTGCGGTATGACAGGAGGAAGAGTCCATTGAAGAAGAGGTCGGGATGGAGTTTTCAGAGGGAATGCGGTGGTCGGTGGGACAGCAGAAGCTCCTAGGCCGCAAACGAGTAGACTCGAGATGATAGCGGAAAGTTTCATGTTGACGAAACGAAGATCCAATGGTGTTGTAGTATTGATACAGCTAGATAAAGAGCGCTATGACTACTTTTTATTTACATCTTCCACTGCAATAAATAGGCATGATGCAACCGAGTCTGCTAAGCGTCAGCAAAAGCCCGTCAATGATAAATTAAAAAGAGACAATGCCAAGGTTTAGCGTAAACTAACTGTTGCATAGGGAACTTTTTTTACAGCTTCCATGCAGGGGTTATGTCGCGCAATCCGACCGCTGAGTGGCAAATCTTGGCCTCTGGATCTAGATCGAGTAAGCAAGCATTGCGGCATCTAAGCTTTTGTCCGAGGTGGCGCAGACGGACAGTAATTATCCCGACCTGACTTACGTGTGTCTCCTTAATGGGTCGACAGTGTACGTAGTAGTTGAGTTTGACTGAGGATTTGCACGTATCCTCCTTGTTTAGTTGTCTCCTGAATCTACTGTAGATATGTGGCTAGTCTCTATTGATCTTGACAACCCGTTCCCATGGAGCAGGAACGCGTAATCTTTTGTCAAGAGCTTCTTAACAGTTGGTCTGCACAATCCGGCATTTCATAGCTTATAATCTCGAATTGAGTCAACCAATGCGGAGTTTACACCTTTCGCCACTCCCAGAAATGTCTAAGTATGGTACGCCTTCCAGCTGCCCTCGCCAATTCGTTCGTAGACCCCACAGACATGTCCATATGGTGGTGATTCTCAGGGTTTTGGTCCTTTGTTCTCGCAATCTCATTCAATTCGCCAACTTTCCATCCCCGAAGCAACATTACACATAAAGCCCCAGCAAGATACATGAAGCCAACCAGTAGCTGTGCACCGAGGTAATTTCCCGAGTGCTCAACAATCTCGAGAGCAACCGGTTCGCTAAACGTACAAGGCAAAACGATGATTAACCATTCGAGATTTAGAGCTGAAGGAAGGTCTTGAAGTCCTACAACCTCGACAGCAACCGGGCCAACGGTTGCCCAGAATGTGCCCGTCACAGTGCCCCCAACGAGTGCGTAGAAGATCAAGACGCCGTAGCTTTTGGCGAAGATCCAGACGACGAAACACAAGAGAGCGCAAAGAAAGGTGGTTAGCCCAGCCATGTTAATTCGCCCGATGGTGTCCGAGAAGTATCCGATGGGTGGTCTCCCGAGTCCCTGGCCCAAATTTAAAATGGCAGAGAGTACGGATGCTTGCGAGGCGGTCAACCCAACCTTTTTTCCGTAATCGGCTAGGGAGAAGACCAGGGCAATATACCCGAGCATGGAGAAGAAGCCGTAGCCGTTGAGTAGAAGATATTCCGGTCTCTTGAACAGCTTCATGTCGAACGGGGCATGCCGAGAACCGATGATTTTGTTGCGGTCCCGTATTAACGCGATACAGATGGCGTTTACAGTCAAGGCCAAAAACCCCAGCACTCTAAAACACCAAGCGATTCCAATAGATCGGATCATGGCTCCAGCTGCCAGAGAGTATACCAGACCTCCGAAACCAGACCCCGAGGCACTGATGCCGTTGGCGAGTGATCGCTTTGTAGTAAACCACTGTGGCGGGATGCCAACGGACCCGACAAAGAGAAAACCCATGCCGATGCCAAAAGCCAGCCCCTGGCTGAGGAAGAGATGCCATATGTTGTAGGCGAATGACGCACCGATCAACCCGATGACCTCGAGCGCGGTTCCAAAAGACAATGTCGCGTGGGTTCCAAAACGACGAGTCGACAAGGTGGCCAGTGGCGACACGAGCATAGCGCAGGAGATTGACAGACCACCCACGAAGGCATATTGCAAATATGTTGCCCCTTGATATGCATCGGTGGAAAGGTAGTGCGCGAGAAAAACGCCATAGGACGAGTTGATGCCCCAGGTATGTGCATTTATGAGCGCAACGCACAGCGTGCAAATCCAACCATAGCCGCCATTTGGAGGTTGATCGGGACTCGTTCGTGCATCTGGACGTTTTGCCTGTTCGGCCAAGTATAGACTGGTGCTCTGATGGACATTTGGCGATGGGGGGTTATGGTCTGAATCCGAGTTGTCAGCAGCCTGCTTGGACTCCCACATGGTGGTTCCTGAGGTCCGAGGCGTCGATGACAACGGATAGTCAATGGACGTGCAGGCTTTTTGTTGGGCTCGGCCAGTAAGTATCGTACCCATATGCACAAGTACCCAAGCATTGATGTATTATATACATTCGGGGCGTCTCCGTCTGGTGGTCGTGCGCGGCTTACATGTAGTGCCCAGTTACACTGAGAATGCCACAGGGGGCGTCGATGCGTCGGATAATTGTGTCCTCACTATTCCTTTGCCAAATCGGCAGCAGGGAGTCATACGGAATACATGGGCTTAGGATGTCTAGTCCGGTCCTCCGTAAGCGTCGATGTCGTGCTTATGCCCGCCAGCATGCAGTCTCCAGGCCGGGGGGATGCATGTGGCGCTTTTGCTCCCTGGATGTTTCGTGGACCGTCCGAGCACTGACTGCACGTGTAATAATGACTCGAACCGTGGCCCGCGAGCAAGCCTGACTTTGAAGCCCAAATCCGGAACAGCCAACCCCCACAGGTATAGGTAAGTACTGTTCGGCCAAGTTTGTAAATCCGGCATATGTCTGGTCTAGGCAGCCAACCTCGCACATGCCACTGCAACTCTCGGTTAGGTAAAGCGCAGATAATTCTGTCATGCCTCCTCGTGTTAAATTTCACTACACTACTTGACCCGCTACTTGGCAATACAAACCCTTCTACCCAACTTGTCTTCCAACCTTGACTCGTTTGTTGACGGATTTAACAATGGTCTCATCACTACACCCCATGTATAGCCGCCCTAAGGATTGATCCAATCGGGCAAGTTATGGCTGCTGTTGTTGCTGGTTCGGATAACCCAACGTCCTGGTCGTATATCTTTATAAAAAGTAGCCGCAAGTTCCCGATACGCCTGTGTTCACCCCCCTAATTCAAGGGATACATAATAAACTTTACAATAAAACTTGTTTCACCTTCTAAAGGGCAGATAACTATATATATTATTAATTAAAAACAGGTTGTAGGTGTTTTAAGTCATGTCTGGTGCCAGGCTTTTTGGTCTTTTAGCATTAAATTTGCATTCAAAGCTATCTGTCTGCCAGGGGAGGCTGGTTAACCTTATTTAAAGCCGCCTACCATGGCTGCTACCTGCATTGATAGCCCTTCAAAGTCACTTGACTCTTTTAGCACCGCGAGGACACGTTAGAGATAGAGGGAGGTGATTTATGCGCCCTGCCCCTTTTATAGTATCGGTTGGTAGCTCATGTTACTATTGACTAGATTGCATTTTTCAAGGACAAGTAAAATTCCTGTTCTGTGCCCGTTTTTTTTTCCCTCCGTCTTTTTCTCCAACTACACGCTTAGGCCGCGTCATTTTGCACGGCGCCGGCAAAAGCTGGCAGCCAAGACGGCCTATTCACGACGAACAATTCGACAGCCGGGTTGGCATCCTCAAGAGCATTGCCGTCCAAAGTGCCAGCCTTGATGATCTTCAAACCGGCGTATGTATCACTCTGGCGCCAGAGCGTCGAGCCACAGTCACCGCAGAAGAATGAGGTGATGGCCTTGCCGCTATCGGCCGTCTTGGAGAATTGCTTGGGAGTGCCTTTGGTGACTGAGAAGCCATCATCGGCAACCAGAAGATTGGTTGAAAACAGCGAGCCAGTAATCTTGTGGCAGTCGAGGCAGTGGCAGAGTGCCTGGTGGCTCGTCTTAGCCGATGTCGGAGGGAATCGCGCCGTCATGCACGTACCTTGGCCTTGATCTCGCCAGTGGACTTGATGCGGATCGAACCGCAGAGGCATCCACCTTCAACCATGATGGCTGTTGCTGAAGAGATGTGCAATGGGATGGAAATGATTGCTATTGGGGGAAGAGTACCCTGAGGGTTACGAATCTAGATGCAAGGCCTCAAGTGCTGGCTCTTTATACCAACTAACCCCTCTCTGCCCCCTCTTCCCCGCCGCGATCGGGACTGCATCATTCAATGATCTTGGCCCCTAGGGGAACCCCCTTGCTTCGGTTTCTACCAGCACGACCCTCTTGGCGGCGGTGTGGGACCAGACGGGACCTCGGTACGAAATACACCAGACCAGATTGACATGAATAAGATGCATCATCCCCGAACACTTGCTGCACATGTGTTGTAAGCCTTGCATAATGTCTGGTCTACTCCACACATGTCAAGATTGACCGCTCACCTGCGCTGCCTCGGACACTCGGCGCGGATTGGCCAACCAGACATTATGCACACTTGTCAGCAAGGACCAATTGATGCAAGAATTTGATGCTTCTAGAAAGAGGTCAATGCCTAGCGACATTGGACTACTCCGTACAAAATCCGATAACTAGCCTTCAGCTTTATGCCACCAGATCCATCATGCCCGATCCGGTGTTGCTTACAGGACAAAACCGCTTTGGTGGCTTTTTTGGCGGCCACCGCATCTTGATCCTCTGAGCTCCGATGGCTATTTCGGCTTGCAGGGTTTCCTAAGCCGGCAGGTCATGGCGCATATTTTAAGTTGGAGGAACTTGTCCGAGACATTCAAGCACACCATTCGGTGCAACTATTGAAATAGCTGCCTTGCTGAACACAACCCCGAGTAAAATTCTTGGTTCCTTGCCGTCATCCGTCTCAGCCACATGGCTAATAAACGATGCGCAACTGGCGCGAAAACTTTTTGTCCTGCTTGACCAGGCTCAGTGGCGAGAATGGCGCGTTGCAATGCATAAAACCGACCCGAATGGCGTCCGCCCCCGAAAGCCATGACATGCGCCTTGTTAAGCTGAATGCCGATGCTCCATGTCGATTGCATACTCGAGTCATACGTGTAAGCAACCTTGCCGAGATTGTCATTGTGAGAAAGTACTCGCCGGCTACTCTTGTACCCCCCAGCTTTTTACACGCGCGAATGGGCGCATACTAGTTTTGGCTTACGGCTATGTTCACCAAGTCCAAGGTCTCATTATTTTACTAGCCGCTCTTCCTTCACTACAAGGTCTTTATAATCGTCTAAAGCAAAGAAAACAAGCTCGTGACTGTACGGTTCCTAACCGCCTACCCCCGAGTGAAATTATTTTCCATTTACCTTGCTTCTATTGACCGGTCCGACATGTTGGATGTAGCCGTGGCATGTACATGCAATCTTACCTAGGTAGTTTGCGGATCTAGTGGCGTAATCGCGTCATCAGTATATTCCAAGGAAGAAGGCGTCTTGATTGCTTAACTAATAAGCCTCGTGGGAATATTAATTACACCGAGCTTATCTAAAGGCTTTAGGACTATGTCAAATTTTCTCCATACTAAGCTGAGTCAATGTAAGACGGAGTGAATTTCACCTAGAAAGTAGATCTGCAGCTCTTCACTAGACTCCTTATCTCCCTGGTCCAGGAGCACGGGGCTGGTATTGGCATCAGGACAAGAGTAAGTGGGGATGAAGCCCAATAAGACGGAAATAGAATTTACATTTTATATTGGCAACGTTTTATACAACTTTATCACAAGTAGTAGTGGTACATGTTGCCACTCCCAGTCTCTGTTAGTATTTAACACCCTGCGATTGGGTTTTATCTAGAGTTACTAGTTGCAATAATAGGTATTCTCCCTAACTCTTATTCGAGTAGACAGTTTCGTTCCTAGGTTTCTAGTACATTAACTATACATCGGGTCATATTGTAAGCACTATCTTCTGGGTTTCTGTACTAGCCAATTATGCAATCGGCTACTCCTTGTTACTCATCTTAATCCAACTTGCTGGCCGCTTGATCACCGAGGTAGATGCCTGAGAGGAGCTGCAACATTTTCAATCACTCTCCATTATCATCAATACTAACGCAGAGCTACGAATGTTACCCAAGATCCGTCGGTTCCAAGTTTCCCTCGCGGGAAGTGGCCCCGACATAGCATGCCGGGTTTCCCAAGCCCCCTGCCTTGGCTTACCGTCGTTTAAATTTTTGCGTGTTAGGCAGGGAAATGTAAACTATTGGCCCAGACCGTTTGAACCATCTAGCTAATGGTATAAAAGGTTTCGTATGCCATGAGATTCAGAAATATCACACCACAGCACATCACCCTCATATCATCTTCGCCGAGATGGATCCTCTACTTAACTCGACCGTGGTTAGTCCCAAGACTGAGATAGTCTCCGGCTTGGTTACTGGAGCTCGAGATCTTGGTTTCTTTTATGCATCTACCGCTATTGCTCTTACTGCTGTTCTTCTGGGTGGGTTTGAGTTTGGCCGTAAAATTCTGAGTCGAATATTATGGTTTTTTGATGGCCTGCTGGGTGGTGCCCCTCATACAGTCTCGCTTCCAGGTCCACCTGGTCTGCCCATCGTTGGAAATCTTCTTGAGGTTAGTATTCCACGCCGTCTAATCTATTTCATACCTAACACGTATAGTAGCTGAGCAATGGTCACGTCCCAAAGATTGCTGAGTGGACCAAGAAGTATGGTGATGTTATTCGGGTGTCCCTTGGTGGGCGTGAGGCGGTATGTCATTCTATTTGAGTTCTGAAAGAAAAGAAGCATATAAACTAACTCATGGCTGAATAGGTCTTTATTAACAGCCACAAGGCTCTCTCCAAGACCATCGTGAAACAAGGTCCGGCATACCAATCAAGGCCCACGTTCAAGCTCTTTCATCAGGACTTTGCTTCTTCTGGTATTTGGACCGTTGGCACCTCGCCCTTTAGCGACCGTCTTGTCCGTACTCGCAAGGCGCTCGCTACCCAAATCGCTCCTCGCCTCCTACCAATCTACACACCTGTTATTCATCCCAAGCTTAAGAAGCTTATTGGTGACATTCTCACTCTTAGCCAAGGAAATGCTGTTGACATGGCCGAGAAGCTTCACCGCTTCGGTACTGGCCAAGTATCTGAGCAACTTATGGGTACTCCTCTGGATGATGATATAGTGGGAATGCTCGCGGAAAACGAGACAAACATCTGTAAGTTTTCTTGGGTTTATTCTTATGCTTTTCTTTTCTCTCCTTCTTCTTTTCTATCTTGTTTCCAATATAGCCATCTACTAACGGTTCGACTTAGTTCGCCAGCGTACTGTGGGTTCACCAGCTCGTGATTATATTCCGATTTTGAGCGGTGCTAGTTGGCTTCGCTACCTGGCTGGAAAGACCCTAGGCATCAAAAGTTGGTCTTACGATGAGAAGGAAGAGAAGGCTCGCGAATACCGCAGGACGCAGCAAGTCTACATAAGTAAGATGCTTGGTGAGCTAAAGCAGCGTATCGAGGACGGAGACCAGACTCCATCAATTCTAGGCAACATTCTTCGGCAGGGTCTGTTAAAAGACGAAGAGGTTCTTCTGGCTTCTTATACCGGCAGTAAGCAACCAGCCATTCCTCCCCGCTTACCCCTTTGCTTCTCCTTTTACCACTTGAATCATTAATTACAGTATCTAACATCTCTCGACAGTTGCTGCTGGGGTCAATCTTGGCTACTCGCTTACTTGGATTATTGGTTATCTTGCCAACAGGCCAGACCTGCAGGAAAACGGCTACGAAGCCATCCGTGAGATATACAATGGCGAACCACCAAAGCCTCACGAATACGATCGAGTTGAATATGTCAAGGCCCTGCATACTGTTAGTAACTTTTCACTAAACCTCACCCATCTACCTACAAAAACTGACATAAAAGTAGGAGGGCTCTCGTATATACACGCCTGTTCGACTTGGTTTTCCCCGCCAAACACTTGATGGTGCTAGTTATGATGGTCATGAGATACCTCCTGGAATGGTATGTCCGACGCTGTTTGTATTTGCATCTGTGTTCTCGACTAAACATCAACTTCTGCTTCTCAGCTTGTTATTATGAACTTAATGGCCGCCAACCGAGATCCAATTTCCTTCGACAATCCGAATGAATTTATACCTGAGCGGTGGCTCAACGGCCGCAAAGGTCGCACCGACAGTTTTACTGAGGGTGGCGACAAGCTTGGCGTAACACATTTGACATACGGCTGTGGTCGGCGTGTCTGCCCTGGCATTGATAGTACGTTTGGTCGCTTGTTTATGTACCTGCTGTCGTCAGCTAACGATTTTCATAGTGGCCAATCGTGGTCTCTACTCCACACTCGTACTCCTCTTGCACTTCTTTACCTGGGAGCGACAACCTCTTGGGGAGGAGGAGAAGAAACTTGTTTTCCCACCCTTCCGTGCTGAACGTGAGTGCTCGCTTCAAATGGACGCAATTGCTGATACCGCTACACCCACGGAGGCTCAGGCCATTCCATGGTCAGCCGGTATTAAATTTCACTGCCGTGATCCTGAAGGCCTTCGCGCCTGGATTGCTTCTGGGGAGACCTAGAAGCCCTTCTTGCCACAAGACACAGAGATTGCTTTTTAGGTTGCCAGTTTTGCAAGGCGTGAGTATTTTACCATAGAAAAATGTGTCTCTTGAAAACGTTCTGTGGACACTTAAAAGCAAGGTTTACAGAGTAAGGGCTTTTCTTTTAAAAAAAAAGGCGGGGGGGGGGGGGGGGGGAGAAGGGAGTGGTTGCTAGACAGAGAATGTAAATAACTCAACTATATATGCACAGATAGTTTGCAATTTAAACTATTACCCCAATCTTTATAAACGGTTCAAATTATCTTAAAATGGTTATATATCTTTGCCATCACATGCTTTATATACAATAACTACGGATCCATGGCCCGTGATAAACTCAAATCGGTTAACTTTCCCAAGCATGCCACGATTCCGAGGCGCACTTGGTAGCTAGGAAGAAAGGTCCGTATAAGCTCACACAGTAAGAGCGAAAATGGATTAATAATGCCAAGAAACTTATTGGAGACGAGATGCATACTATTAGACGGCGTGGCCAGTTTAAGGTGCGACTATGCTTTGTGACGCGACAGATCTTTACGGTTGAATCTACGTCACGGAGGACGGTGCTAGTCGGAGGATTAGCACAATACTCGTACCTTGTCTCGTCTTTGTGTATTTCCATTCCACTCTAGAGTCCTGAGTACATCCACAGGCAGATTTTATGACATCGCTGTAAAAAGGTAGTCGTCATATACACCAAGAATTATGGGGTATAGGGACTAGCAGCTCGAAAATGGTGGTCCATGTCTTTGGAGGCCGTGAGGGCAGCATTCATCCGGGACTGTTATTTTAATTGCTTCTGCTGATTCATGGCAAACTAGAATCTGTCGCATTTCTCTCCTTGGTGTGCTTTTTCCCTGCTTTCATAATCTTTGGTTTCATTTGAGCTACCACTTGGGGGCCCGTTTTAGAAATTATCTCTCACGTGCCGCCACAGATGGCTGAAACGAATCGATACATGTAGTCTTAGAAGGTACCCATGGGGCTGAGACAGCAGACTGGAGGCCAGGAATAAAAGCCTTCGATATGTAGTCGGTCATGCATGCCCATGGCGCCCTTGTTACGGAGGGGAAGATGGAGTGATTTTGAATGTCTTGACTGTTCAACGCAATGCAGGAAGATATCGTTATTCTTTGTTTGCATATGAACTGGAAGGAAGCTGTCTGAAATGTCGGTTATTATTACGATGATTACATACGCAGAAACAGGACTACCACTCCGTGCCAAGCTGCAGAACACTTGCCCCGGCCTAGTCACATCCCGTAAATGCAGCCGTTGTCGTTCGTCGGTGAATTCAATGCATGAAGCGATGGGGCCTAAAGGCTCTCGACTCAGGGCGCCGCAATGGTCTTGCGGGCGCGGAGAAGAGCCTAGTCATTCGAATCATGCCATCTTGACAACGGAGGGTGGGCTATCCGGCCTAGTAGATGACGGCACGAGCATAATTCGTGGGAGCCTACAAATGTCCGGTATGCTATTAGTGGTACAAGCCACGAGCGGACTACGGGCATTTTCCCCAGCCCGTCAGTGTGGCTTCTCGCGAGTCATTCCTGTAGCCATAGCGTTGAAACTGCATTTAGCGCAGCTAGATGAACAGGGTATCCTGGGTAGTAAGTCCCGTATTAAGAAGCGATAACAAAAAACACTCGGTCTCTGGGGGTGGTATATTAAGCAGTTAGCTACAAAGTTGCTAATGAATCACGCCTGGTTGCATGCTTAAAAGTCTCGTGGTCTTTTCGCTACGAAACAAAGGTAATAAAATAAGCAACATTTACAACAGCCTTCTTGAGTCAGTCTCTTCGCTTTTCTCCGTAGTGGTTGCGATAAGTTCCCGAATCTACGTTTCATCGTTTGACGATCGTTTCAAACTCAGCTTCTGTGTTACCATCAGGGTTAGATCTGTTTCTAGAAGACTACCCCAGAGTTATGATGGAATGTATCAAGTAGGAAGAAATAATATGATTCTCCGATCGACAGCTCTCTATTTATTCTAGCTCTGGAAGCCACGTGGGTTTAAGCCTACTTTTCTATTTCCAACTGCCACAATTAGCATCTGACTTTGAATTCTTCCTATTCAACACAGCAACAAGCTCCTTCAGCAGGTATGAAGGTCATTTACCTCACATGTTGGCTCTCGAGCCCGCTACTGCTTGTTAGCAGCCAGGCTACTGCCCAACCTGGAAGGAATTTAGAAGTTAGCGAGATCCAGAAGATCACGGACGCTTCTCAAGGTGGCTTCCGCCCTTTTATTGAGTTTTCAGTTGCAGGCCAGGTTATGAGAGGCTTGCTTGATACAGGAAGTAGTGACTTGAATATTCCGAAAACGGGAAGCGAGTTCTGTCGTGGCGAAGGAGAGCAGTGTGACGGGCGTGCCACCGGCTTCAAGGCTGGATCGCTTGACGTCAATAAGAACAAAACCGAAATTCGAGACCTAAATATTCCCCTAAACGCAACTTTTACCGGAGGAGCCGCATTCGTTGGTACGTTTATCGAAAGTTCTCTTCAGGTTACTCCCGGCGGAAAAGAGGTTCCCGTGCGGATGGGCCTCGTGGAATCAGGAGGCGTGCCTCCCGGTCAAGTCAGCTTTCCAGTCATGGGCATTGGCCCAATTCAAGGAGAATCTGCGAAAGATCCATATCCAAATGTCCCAGCTCGGTTTAAACAAGATGACCTAAGCAAATCAAACGCATATGGCCTTTATCTTGGAGACTTCCGTAAGTATATATATATATATATTTTTAATCCCATTTCCCTATTTTCTTAGTCTGTGTAAGGGAACGGCCCCAC